AGAAACAACAACAACAACAACAATAATAACCATAATAATGCTAATAATAATAACAATAACACGCATAATAACAACAGCAATAGCAAAATAATAATAACAATAATAATAATAACAAAAACAACAAGAATAATAACAACACCCCCAATAATAACAACATCCTCAACAACAATAATATCAAAAATAACAACAACAACAAAAATAACTCCAGAGAAAGGCGAAAACCCTGCAGCTCGAAAGCGAAATAAAACAAACGAGGCAAAAAGACTAGAAACGCTGCACAGTGGAATTGCATTAAATAAAAGCTCTGCAGATTTGATGAATAAATGCTCGACAAGTTTATTTAACAAGAAAGAGTAAGGGAGAGAGAGAAAGGTGTAACAGGGGGGGGAGGGGAGAAAGGGAGAATGGGAAGGAAGGAAAGAGGGAGAGAAGGAGAGAGGGAGAGAGGGAGGGAGGGAGGGAGGGAGAGGGAGGGAGGGAAGGAGGGAGAGAGGGAGGGAGAGAGGGAGGGAGAGAGGGAGGGAGGGAAGGAGGGAGAGGGAGAGGGAGAGGAAGAGGAAAATAGAGGGAGGGAGGGAGAGACAGAGAGAGAAGAAAGAGATAGAGAAAGAAAGAAAGAGGACAAAACCTGACAGTAAAGAGACAAGAGAATGAGAAGGAGCCAAAGAGAAATAAAAGAGAGAGAAAAAAACAAACAAAAAAAGCAAAGAGGAAACGAACGAAAACAGCGAGAGAAAGCGGCCGAGCGAAGCGAATAGAGGAGGGGAGAAGCAAGAGGGAGGGAGGGAGGGGGAGGGGAGGGGGCAGATCCCAAAGGGAGGGTTGGGGAGGATCCAGGCGGTTGCAGGATGCGCCATTAGGGGAAAAGGGAGGGGCGAGTGGGGGGGGGGAGGGTGAGGAGAGGAGAGGAGAGGAGGAGGAGGAGGAGGAAGAGGAGGAGGAGAAGAGAGAGATAGAAAAGGAGATAGAGAGTAAGAGGCAAGATGAAGCGAGAGGAGGGAAGTGAGGAGAGCGAGAGGGCTGAGAGCGAGAGGGTGAGAGCGAGAGGGTGAGAGGGAGACGGAAGAGAGAGAGGAGAGAGGAAAGAAGAAAGAGGAGAGAGGAGAGAGGAGAGAGGAGAGAGAGAGAGAGAGAGAGAGAGAGAGAGAGAGAGAGAGAGAGAGAGAGAGAGAGAGAGAGAGAGAGAGAGAGAGAGAGAATGAGAAAGAGAATGAGAATGAGAAAGAGAAAGAGAAAAAAAAAAGAAAAAGAGAGAGAGAGAGGAAGAGGAGAGGAGAAAGAGAGGGAAGGGAGCGAGGCAAGAGGAAGCGAGAGGAGAGTGAGGAGAGAGAGGAGAGAGAGGAGAGAGAGGAGAGAGAGGAGAGCGAGGGGACACGCAGGCGTCGGACCTTGCCTCTTGGACGCCGGGACAAGAAAGGCACCGAATCAGGGTGACATAGTTTCGCGTAATTCGTAATTCTTCGCTTAATTTCTCTCCCTCTCTGTCTTTCTATATCTGTCTTTGTTTGTGTGTTTGGAAGTTAAATGTCGGCTCATTGTTAACTATTGTTATTCGGTTGTTTATTCTTTGTCTTTGTTTCTCTCTCTCTCTCTCTCATTCTTTCTATGCTTCATGTCTATGCCTCCCCCTCCCCTCCCCTTCCCCCTTTTCCCTCCTCCACCTTCCCTTCTTTCCCTCCTCTATCCCCCTCCCCCCTCACCCTCTCCCTTCTTTCCCTCACCCTCTTTCCCTCCCTCCCTCCTCCCTCCACCCTCCCTTCTTTCCCTCCTCCATCTCCTTCCCCCCTCCCCTCCCCCCCCTTTCCCGCCGCCAAGACACCTCGGAACCAAGAGGCCCGACCCGCTCCTTCTCGCGAGTCTTAATCCATTTAAGGACTTTGTTCGAGAGGCTCTATGGGAGTGCCAAGGGGGCTTGAGGGGCGTAGGACAGCGGTGGGGGGGTGGGGTGGGGGGAGGGGAAGGGGGGGGGGGGGGGAGGGGAAGGGGGGGAGGAGGAGAGGAAGGGAAGACGGGGAGAGCGGGAGGAGGGGGAGAGGGGAGAGGGGGGGACAGGAAGGAGGAGGATGTTTCCAGGTTCTTACGGAAGGGGAGGGAAGGGGAGGGGAAGGGAGGGGAGAGGAGGGAAGGGGAGGGGAGGGGGAGGAGGAGGGGGAGGAAGATGAGGAGGAGGAGGAGGAGGAGGAGAGGAAGAGAAGGAGGAGGAGGAGGAGGAGGAGGAGGAGAGGGAGGAGGAGGAGGAGGAGGAGGAAGAGGAAGAGGTGGAGGAAGAGAAGGAGAAGGAGGAGGAAGAGGAAGAGTAGGAGGAGAAAGGAGAAGGGGGAGGGGGAGGAGGAGGAGGAAGAGGAGGAGGAGGAGGAAGAGAAGGAGAAGGAGAGGGAGGAGGAGGAGGAGGAGAGGAGGAGGAGGAGAGGAGGAGAAGGAGATGGAAGAGGAGGAGGAGGAGGAGGAGGAGGAGGAGGAGGAGGAGGAGAAGGAGGAGAAGGGGGAGGAGGAGGAGGAGGAAGAGAAGGAGAAGGAGAAGGAGGAGGAGGAAGAGAAGGAGATGGAGGAGGAGGAGGAGGAGGAGGAAGAGAAGGAGGAGAAGGAGAAGGAGAAGGAGGAGGAGGA